TTATTTATTTGACAGAGAGAGACACAGCGAGAGAGGGAACACAAGCAGGGGGAAAGAGGGCAGGAGAAGCAGGCTTCCCGCTGAGCAGGGAGCCTGATGTGGGGCTCGATCCCAGGACCCTGGGAGCATGACCTGAGCCAAAGGCAGACGCTCAACGACTGAGCCACCCAGGCGCCCCTAACAGTGACATTTTTAATGAAAAATAACTTCAAAAATTCAGTGAGAAGACTGGCATTATTTGACATGTTTTGCAAATCTCTTTATTGTCTGGCTTAATAGAAAATAGGCTTGATTCTCTTTTTGTGCTTTTGCATTTATTTAGTCTGTTACAATGTGTTGTTTTGATGAATGTATATGAAGGGAAGCCATTTTTGCCACACATATGTGTGGCAAAGGAAGAGTGTTTTCAGTATCCTTTTCAGATAATTGTGGACATTATACTTTGATACTACACCAAAACTTGGCAAATGGCACTTTTCTTAAAGTTTAGTACAATGTGGAATCTTGAAACCATGACAGTATACTATTTGAACTTTGTTTCACTAAAATGCATTGGTCTCTTTTGCACTTTGAATGGGTTTTGCAATACTGTATGTTAGCTGAGTTATGCAGATCTTCCAAGTGTTGACATATTTCATGACGCAATATCAAAAAAATCACTGATCTCATCAGAAAAGTCTTCAAGTATTTGGGAAACTGGGCTCTTGATGTCAGATAGATGTTTTCCAAGAGTCTCCTTTTGGTAGAAAGCTTGGATTTTATCATTGGCAACAACTACCGTAAGTTGTTTTCCTTGAGGCGACAGGCCCAGTTGATTCATTTTTGAGCAGGTATCTGCCATATACCCGGGTTTGCATAACCATCATTTTCCTGTCGATTGTTCTCTCTAGGAACTGGTGTTCCATGAGAAGGCTTCTAGTTCAGCTCACAATCTAAACATGATATAGCCGTTTTCCCAAGATAGCAGAGCACTTCACGTGTATGTGCATTTCCTCATACAGAGTGTTAAGATGTGTTGTCAAGGGTTGAAGTTTAGTAAAATGAATCCTTTTTATTGCTTCCTCCAGGATATTATTAAGTGAAAATGGCCTTTTAAAAAAAGCTGCAAGTGTGTGGCGATGCCTGACACGGAGACCCTGCCGTGTGGGAACCGCTGCTGGCCTGTGCTGAGGTGTTGCTAGTTTTACTCTTGGCTTTGCACCAGCCATCACTGCAGAGCTCGGCACCGGCGGAGGGACAGGTGTCTTGGTGTTACTGTGCCCATGCTGTCGACTTTATGGATCACCTCCTGGGGTACCTGTGGGCTCCACGGATAGTGCTTTGAGAACCTGGGTGTGGAATCTGACTCTGGAAGCAAAGCCAGTGTGGAGTTCTGGCTCCATCTTTTAATCTGTTGGCCATGGGGTCTGAATGAGACCGGTGAGACCGGCCTTCTCTGGTGGACTGTTGCGAGGACTGGACGGGATAATGCAATGAGGGCGTGCCTTCTGTGGTGCCTAGGACATAGTAGCACCACTGAGGTCCTTTTCCTTTCCTTCCTGGGGCGTTGGGAAGGTGCTGGGGACTGGGAGACTCGACTAGGGTGGAGAGATGGAAAGGGTCAGTTTTGCCTTAGCGCATGCCTGGAATCCACAGGAAGGCCTCTTGACTCTTTTTTTTCTCACTTGCGCTGCTTCAAGGAAGGGGGGAGGGGAAGGATGCAAGGGGAACAGCAGACCTTTCTGAGGCTGTTTGTGGGTGGAGGGATCTTAGGTTCTCTGGACCTGTCGGTTGTCTGTGTGACCCAATGTAGTTTGTGCTAAAGAGCCAACTCTGAAAATTAGCAGTGTCTTCTGATTACTGCCATCTCCTGAGCACTGGGGACTCTTTACAGATAATTCTGATTCAGCCTCATAGCTCTCCATGGTGGAGGACTATAGGGGGCCTTTCCCGGCTGGAAAAATAAAATCTCAAGGATGAGGCAGTTTTTAACCTAGAGCTTATGTGCTGCTGGAGATCTGAGTATGGTCTAGGACAAAGTTTTCTTCTTTCCCATACTAAAAAAATACCAGGGCATGATTTTGTCACAGCCTAGTGAAATCTGAGATTCTCAAAACCTAATTACATTAATTTTTAAAAAATGAACATTAATCCAGGGGTACCTGGCTGGCCCAGTTGGTTGGGCGTCTGCCTTCGGCTCAGGTCTGATCCCAGGGTCCTGGGATTGGGCCCCGTGTCCGGCTCCCTGCTCCATGGGAGTCTGCTTCTCCTTCTCCGCTCCCCTCCCACCCGCTCATGCTTGCTCTCTCACCCTCTCAAATAAATAAAATCTTAAAAAAAAAAAAAAATGAACACTAATCAGACAGTAGTTTGAACACTGTGGCCTAACTTCAAAAAAGGTTGGCAGTCTCTGTCCAAGAAAGATCATAGTACAAGCAAAGGCATTGGCCCCCTCATTTATTATGTGCATTTTCCGTGTTGCATTCCTGGAGGTAGACAAAGCATGACGGGAGCTTAGCTTTCAGAAGAAGAGTCTGTGGGGCTGACCTGCTGGTCTGCTCATTTGTTCCCAGGGTTAAGTGTCAAGCCCATGTGTGTAACGATGCCCCAGGTCTGTCCACAGAAGAGCTCTTGCCAACTTGGTGCCAGAAGGGGCAATAGTTGCGTTCCAGGTCCAAAGCCACCAGCAAGAGCTGCTTTTTTGGGAGGGAACCGTGTCTCTGCTCCTGTAAGAGTAAAATTCCAATTAGAGTGGCCTTGAGTTTTAAATGACCTTTTGTTCTCTCTGCTGACGGTCACACTTTGGATTTTGGGTACTCAGAATATCACTATTGGTATCCAGACTTGATGTCATGTGTGGATAAGCCTCCAATTTTTTCTTTTTAAAGATTTATTTATTTATTTTAGAGAGAGAGCTTGCGTGTGGTGGGGGGAGGGGCAGAGGGAGAGCAAAGCAGACTCCGCCATGAGCATGGAGCCCGACGCGGGGCTCGATCTGACAACCCTGAGATCATGACCTGAGCTAAATCAAGAGTTGGACGCTCAACCGACTGAGCTACCTAGGTGCCCCATATAAGCCCCGAATTTAAGAAAGTTTTGTAGATTTATTGATTTTGTCCTGAAGAAGTCTCCCAGTAATGTCCCCTGTAGCTCAGAGAGCATGTCAGATGGGTGGTGTGGGCAGCAGAACTGCGTGGGTGGCTGTGTATACCGAAACATTGAAATCTGTGTGGTGTTAGATTTCAGTAGACTTTCTCTGTCCCGAAGGTCAAGGGAACTCTGCATCCCCAAGATGGGTGGCAGGGATATTTGCATTTCTCTTCTCTATCATGTTTGCTTTTATACGATGTGATAGGGAGTGTGAATTCAGAGTGTGAATCTGTCTCCTATTGGAGTGGTCAGTGTGGCCGAAGGGTGCTGGGCTGTACTTGGCTCTTTGTTGAAGTTTTGCTGCTTCCTGACACTTGACTTTGAGCAAGTCACTTCACTTTTGTTTAGCCCCAGCTTCTTCATATGTGAACTAGGGTTTAGGACAAACTGCAGTTTAAGACATGTGCCCTTTATCTGCTGCAGGGGGTAATTGATGGCGAAGCTTTGGAGGAAGCTGCAAGATGGGGCTCAGAGGCCAGAGAACCCTGATTGAGTGCCCTGCAGGAAAGGTGCTGGTGGAGAAGGACAGCACTCTAACTGGTAGAGGACAGGGAGTCAGTCCTTTGTGGTGGGCCACCTGCAGTTGAGCATCCCTCCCCTTCGTGGTGTGACGTCGGGCAACTTAGTTAACCTTTCTGTGCTCCAGTTTGCTCACCTGAAAACAGGCATTAAAATAACCTCCATAGCAGTACCTACCTCTTAAAGTTTAAATGAGGTAATAATAGACCTAACGTACAGAGCCAGGTTTCTGGCTCATGGGAGGTGCCGAATCCGTGTTAGCGCTTCTCATGGTCAGGACTATAGGAGGCTTTTCCTGTGTGTGAGAAAGGTGTGTGTCAGGGAACTTAACCAGATGTGTGGTTTAGCCAGAGCCTTGCAGCACATCGCGTATTTTTTTTTTTTTTTAAGATTTTATTTATTTGACAGAGAGAGACAGCGAGAGAGGGAACACAAGCAGGGGGAGTGGGAGAGGGAGAAGCAGGCTTCCCGCCGAGCGGGGAGCCCGATGCGGGGCTCGATCCCAGGACCCTGGGATCATGACCTGAGCCGAAGGCAGATGCTCAACAACTGAGCCACCCAGGCGCCCCGCACATCGCGTGTTTTAAAGCAGCCGCCGTTTAACAAGGGTGGTGGGTACTAAGGAAGCCGGTAGGAACGGGGACGCACCTACTCAGTGTGGTGGGCGTGACTTGTCCGAGAGAGCCTTTATGTGAGATTCCTTTAGGTTCTTGGGGAGGAAGGGAGGCTTTATGTGATATTCCTCTAGGTTCTTGGGGAGGAGAGGTGGTTTGTACACTGGTGGTGTTTTTCCCATGCTGTGAGCGTGCTGGTTGTGAAAATTTCCTAACATTGCATTGGCAAAATTGTATTTGAAGCAATACTTGGATACCTTGGTATGGGAAATGGACAAAGAAAAGCTAAAATGAAACCGTCACATGTCTTTGGATTATTCTAGTTTACTTTCTGAAGAGATCATTTCGCTCTGTTGTCTTGAGCAGAAAGGCATATGGTATTTGCGCCTGGTTTACCTGTCTGTAGGACCTGTAGCGGACCTCTGTGTCAGGTGGGCGGTCATGAAAGATCGGGGGGCTAGGAATCAGAAGACCTGAATCCTAAGCCCAGGTCCCAGCTCTGCCACTGTCTGCTGTTTGACTTTAGGCAAGTCCCCCAACTTCTCAGGATCTCAGGCTTGAGACCTGAAAAGCGGAGAAGATGCTGGGCACCTTGCCCTGCTGGCCTCACTGGGGCGGTGTAAGGCTCAGATGAGAATCCTGGTAAACTGCTGTACAACCGAGATACGAGTTTTAACATAACAAATGGCTGCTGGTAACCAAGCTCTGACCCTCCTAATGAAATATTTTCTTTCTCAGTGATGTTACAGCCTTTCGATTATGACCCCAATGAGAAAAGTAAACACAAGTTTATGGTTCAGTCTATGTTTGCTCCGACTGACACTTCTGATATGGAAGCAGTAGTAAGTACTGAATGCTTCTTACTTTTTTTTAGTAATTAAAAAAAAATGATTAGGTACAGAATTTTGGGTGCATGCATTTCAAAATGTGTCAAAATTGTTTTTAAAGGGGAATGGTGTTTTCAAGGAGGTTTGTACTTTGACTACCTTTATGGTTTTTCTTAAACTTTGATTTTAACATTTTATGTAACTTTCCAGAATACTATTCTTTTCTGACTTTTATATCTCAGTTTGCTTCAGCAGTTCCTTGTTCTGATGGATTGTGTCTTGAATGGTTTGAGGATTCCCTTCCTTTAAACCCCCCTTCTATCCCCCATAGAAAAGGGTCCTTCTTAGTCTAGGGAATGTCTCTTACCATGTCTCCTTGCACACACCCCCCCTGCCCCAAGAACCCAGAGGGATGTGAGAGAGTGGAATACTTAAATGTCCTCCAACGCTTGAGGGTTTGTTTTTCTGCTTGGTTCTGGTAAGCATGATTTTTTTTTTCCTCTCCCTAATTTCCCTCATTCCCCCCCCCCCCACTTAAATACATGTTTAACTCTGTCTCTAATTTTGGTAAAAATAAGGTAACTTTGTTTTTATAAAATGAATAAGTGATACTATATTATTGGGTTTTCTGGGAAAAGATTATAATGGAAATTCTCCTTAAAGTAAGCTTTTTCTGCATTTGAATAAATCAGCAGGCATTCTGTTGTCTGCGGGAATCACAGTGTACAGATAAACCTTACCGTGCACAGCCCCAGCTAGGACAGACTGGCCAGTCCTTGAGCTCACAGATGGGAAAAAGAAGGTGGGGCTCCCTCAACACCCACATCACTTTCCAGCTTGCCAGCCCAAGCTGGAAGACGGGTCCCCCAAGGAGCACCTGCAGACGGGAGTCAGCCGTGGCTCATGAAGCACTATGGTTTTTCTCTTTCAAAAGTTTTATGTGAAGGGCTTTCTATGCACAGCTTCCCTTCACGTTCCAGTGTCACCACTCAGCCTTTTCTGTTAGTCTTGGAAAAGCATAAATGACCATCTTTGCGGATGTTCAAGTTTGGGGCAGGAGATGAGGGTAAGCTGGGTATTTTGAGGTTGGAGAGAGATGAGTGATAATAGGCAGCCTTCCCCTTTCATAAGAATGATTATTGAGGCATTTACTACTTTTTCTTTTATTTCCCAGAATATGATATATACTTCATGTTAATTTGTGTGAGCAAGGAAATGTATGGCAAATACAAAATTTGGAATATCTAAGAATGTGTTCGCTTGGCTTTTGCTGCATGGCTTAGTGACAAGAGTGACATGGGCTTGGGCGTCTTGGGCGTGGGGCTGAGCTCTGCCTTGTACTAACGTTGTGGCCTTGGGCAGTTTTCATTAACTCTCTGTAGGATTGGGTCACCTGTAAAAGGGGGATAAAAACCTAGGTCACACATTGTTGTGGGATTCAGTGTGCTGTGTGTGTCGAGCACCTGGCACAGTGTCCGGAGCTGTTGTATCTGAGGGCTCTTGTGGTCCGGGCCCTCTACATACAATAAACGTGAATTTCACTCCCTTTTATGGTAATTTTTATAACACTTAAATTTTTTTATATGAATGTACATTGTAGGAAATTTTGGAAATACACAAATAAGCAAAAATAAAACTAAAAGTGACCCGTAATTTATTTACCCTAGATCTAACCACTGTTATGGAGAGCTTTGTGCTATTTCTTTATTTTAAACTATATTTTTTGTATTTTGATATACAGAAAGCGGAAAAAAATTGTACAGTGACTACTCCTATAACCTTTACCTAGATTCACCATTTAACACTTTGCCACATTGGCTTCATTTCTGTTATAAACTTTCTTTTTTTTGCCGAACCACTTGACTGTAAGACGCAGACTTCATGACACTCCACTCCTACACGCTTCAGAACAAGGACAGTGTCTCACATAGTCACAGCACTGTCCTCATAGCTGAGAAAGTTGACATTAATCCAATCATGTTATCTAACAGAGAAACCTATATGCAGCATTTTCCAATTGCTCCAAAATGGCCGTTAGTTGTTGTTACTCTAGTAGAGTCCAATACCCTCAACCTTTTTTGTTTTTCGTGACTTTGAATTTTTTGAGTCCAGGCCAGTTCTGGGATTGTCCAGTTATTTCCTCATGATTAAATTAAGGTTAAATGTTTTTTGGCAAGAATATTCCATAAGTAATGTCATTGTATGCATCATATCAGAAGGCATTTAATACTGGGTCGTCCCTCTATTGGTGATGCTCAGTTGGATTACTTGGTTACGATGGTGACTGCCAACTTCCCAGTGTCAAGGCACAATTGCCCCTTGTGGTTAATAGGTAATCTTTGATACTCTTGAGTAATCCTGGATGCTTGGAGATCATGTGAATATCCTGCTCATCAGCAGTCTCACCTGGTGGTTTTAGTGTCCAGTGATGATCCTTGCTTGACGCTCTTTTGACACAGGCACACGTACGCTCGTGTGTGTGTGTGTGTGTGTGTGTGTGTGTGTACAGAGGAACAGACTAGACTATTGCCTGTAGCTTCTTCACTATGATTCTGTGAATTTTCTCTGTGTAGTCTTCAGTATCATTTGAATGGCATGCTGTTCCACTGAATGGATCTGCCATGATTTATTTGGCAGTTCCTGTTGTTCGACATATAGATGGTTTCCTATTTTTGGCTCTTGGTACTTGTGTTGCACTAGCTGCCTCCTGCATGGTCCTGGGGCGAGGGTGGAGAGTTTGTTCTTTTTTCCGTATTGTAACCTTCTTGCTACGCTGGTCTGCAGTTCTCAGCATACCCTGGGATTCCTGCCCTCCACTGCCCAAAGGAGGAGGATTAAGCCAGGAGTACAATCCCAGAGCATGGATTTAGCCAGGAAGTCGTCCCCACCAGCGGGCTGGAGGGAGTGGGGGTTGGCCCAGACAATGGCTTGCTCATAAATGTGCCCCATTGGTAGTTGGCAGCGTGGTTCTAAAACCACTCCCAGGTAGTATACGCTTACTTTAAGAAGGATGTACCCTGCAAAGTAAATTTTATTTTCCTAAGGAGAGCCAAAGTTACCTCTGACCGCTCAGACATAATTTAGAAAATTCCTCTTCCTTCAGCGGTGGTTGTCTCTGTTCCATGTGCTTCCCACAGACTAGCAACAGGAGCAGCATTGGTTGACTTGGAGGAATCAGGCCGCAGGACTGGGATTTGTGAAGTGTAATAAATATTCAGGAAAGCTAGTGTATTTAATCTTGTCATGTTAAAAATATTGAAATCTTAGCAGACGTAAGTTCTTTATTTGATATACATCAGGGCTTTCTCATTAAGAATATTTTTTTGAAATTGTCAGTTATAGGAAGAAAATTATTCTTCCAGCAGCTTTATAATATCCTGATTATTAAATTTAAATTGTTTTAGTGGAAGGAGGCAAAACCGGAAGACCTTATGGATTCAAAACTTAGATGTGTGTTTGAATTGCCAGCAGAAAATGATAAACCAGTAAGTATGTTTATAGTTAACAATAATTGAATGTTGCAAGCTGATTCTCATTTGCATACCATCTCCTGCAAAACCAAGATTTAAGTTGGCAAATTATTTTCCTTCTCCTGAAGTCTGATGAAAAAAATAAGCTGAAGTCAACAAATAAGTGGGCCTTCATGAAATCAGCCTTTGAGAGACTTGCAGAAAGACAACTAATTGAAACAATTTTTTTTCTTGAAAAGTGCAACCTGTTGGCTGTTGAAATGTCATAAATCCTAAAGAGCTTCTTTGACTTGGCAAAGTTATAGGTTGCTGTAAAGAGTGGGTAAGTCTACAACAGGGAATAATTTGCCGTTTATCATGGTGCTTGATGGACAGGTGGTAAGCTCTCGGGTTCTGTTGTTTCACAGACTGCTGTCTTAGGTCTCCCTGTCTGCACTTTCCCCTAACACCACCTCACCACCCCACCACCCCCTTAACCCTCCTGCCTCTTTAGTCAGACCTGCTTTTAGATTAGGGTTTCTCAGCCTTAGCACTATTAACATCAGGGCTGGATCATTCTCTGCCATGGGGGCTGTTTTGGGCCGTGTAGGATGTTTAGCAGCATCCCTGGCCTCTCCTCACTAGATACCAGTCATCACCCCTCTCGTGTGACAACCAAAAATGTCTCCAGACATTGCCCAGTGTGCGCTGTTGGGGGCGGAATTGCCTCCTGTTGGGAGTTGCCCCCTGTGCTGCCTGAGGGGGTGAGGGAAAGGACTAGCTGCCTCCAAGCTGTCAGCTTGCTTTTCTCCATGAAACCAAGGGACAGACCTCTCATGGCCCTTGCTCGTGACCAGTTGGGAGAGCAGACTCCATCTGAAATGCTGATTTGGACCTTCCTTCAACTTAGAAGAACTTAAATTGTATTAAAAAACACCTTGCAGAATATTCTACTACCCTGGCTGTTAATAGCTGGAGTTGGGAAATCGAAACGCCCACATTCCGTGAACATTGTCCATAGCGATCTGCAGGAATGCTGTTGATCTGTGCCACTGCTTCTTAGTAGTTTCTTCCTGCTCAGCGACTGACCGCCATCGTTACCCTATTTCTTGGAGTGGGTAATAGGTTTTTTGTTGTTGTTGATGTTTGTCTCTTCCCATTGCACATTTTGTCCCGGGAAGGTCGGTTTGGGAACTTGTGAGACCTCCTGTTCTGCTCCTGGCTCTGTGCTGTACGAGCTTTGTAGATGGGGGCCTTGCCCTTTGCAGGGCTCCCCTCTTCTCACCTGGAAAATGAAGGGTTAAGCTCGAGAGTGCAGAAGGGAGAGTCGGTCGTTTTCGGTGTGCTGCACAGAACCCCTAGGGCAGTGATCCCCAGCACACCTGACCACCTCCATGCCCTCCCTGGCACCGGCTCCTCCCCAGTCACTCTCCAGAGACCGTCATAACTGTCTCGGCAGGGAAGTGGGGGATGTGCAGCTTCCCTTGATTGAAATATTGCAGACACTGAGCTAGTTTCACCTTCAACCCAGCTTCGAAGTCTTGAGTTCGTGAAATAAATCGCTCTCTGTGTAACGTCCTCCCTGACTTCCCACCTCCCCCGTCCGGGCCCGTCCTGGGGATGTTGAGGTCTTCCTGGTGACAGTAATTTGTGGCTAATAACTCCTGAGCTTGCACGATTACGATATGCTAATTTTTGCATGGCAGGAATTTGATAGTGCAGTATGCACAGCCCTTTTTCTCTTCCTTTGAAGTATTAGTCTCAGCCGAACTTCATTATTTGTCCTTATCCATAATTTCTGGGGCCCAGTTGCTTTAGATTATTAAGATACTAGATAAAGTGATCCATTTTTAAAATAAATGTGACATTTTACAGTGTGGATGAAACGCTACCACGTGTGGTGTTTGCTGAGAACTACTTTACTTTGCATAAAAAAGTCCTTTATTACATAGTTGGTGACACTTGGGCTTTCATTTATTTCTGAACAGCATGATGTAGAAATAAATAAAATTATACCCACAACTGCATCAAAGACAGAAACACCAACGGTGTCTAAAGCTCTGAGTTCTTCTTTGGATGACACTGAAGTTAAGAAGGTGATGGAAGAGTGTAAGAGGCTGCAGGGAGAAGTGCAGAGGCTCCGGGAGGAGAACAAGCAATTCAAGGTAATGGCATCTTCTTTTTTTTTCCTTTAAGATTTTATTTAAGTAACCTCCATGCCCAACATGGGGCTCGAACTCACAACCCCAAGATTAAGAGTCACATGCTCTACCGACTGAGCCAGCCTGGCGCCCCGGTGGTGTTTTATTTCCTGATAGTCTACAGAAAACAGGGGCTTTTCCACTGTGATCTTGGGTGGGGAAGTTGACACATCCCTGCATTTGTAGAATTGTTTTGTATTTACACATCCTTTCCCTAGGGAGAAATTTCTATGGCTTTCATCAGGTTCTCAAAAGAGCTCTGACACATTCCCCCCTCCCCCCTAATTATCCAGTGTCCCTGAGCAGAAGTTTCTCAGCTATTTAAATTCTGTTCCCTTGTACTTGACATGTTATAATTTCTTTAATCTTCTAAACCTTCTATGAAGTAGGGATTGTTACCATCCCCAGTTTACAGATGGAGGAGACTGAGAAACAGGTTAAGTGACTTGCCTGAGGTCACACTTCCAGTGAGAATTGAACCCAGGCTTTGTGCCTCAGAGTCCACATCCATTCCATTCTCCTGCCTCAGCCTGCAGACTCTCGTCCTCTTGTAAGGAAACCAATCCTCTCTCGCCCTCCCGTTAGTGTCAACCGAAGACAGACTCTGAGACTAAACACAAAACAGCAGTGGTTATAACCCTGCTCCATCCCCAGTGGGTGAGAATCTTTCTTTGGGAGGGTAAATAGGTACTCTTTTAATATAGGCATAATTGTCATTTTTGAAGATTCTAGGTGGGTCTGGGCAGTAGGGTCTCCTCAAACTGTTCACACGGTGATGAGATTGGAGATGGAAAGTTGTCATAGTAGACAGGTGGAGATTGTAGAAGGAGAAGCCTGAGTCTCCAGCTTGTGGGTGTTGACGAGGTGGTTGGCCTTGGCGTTAGAAGGTCGGGCTGCGCTGGGTGGTGAAGGGAGGTGGGGCGCACCTCGTTTGGCCTTGGCAGCCTGAGTTGTGCTAGTGCCGGCTCACACTTGACTAGCTCGGAGTCTGTCGTGGTCACAGCATCCTTGGGCCTCCACTCGCAAAACATATCTAAGGCCCCTTCCAGCTTTAAAAGTCTGTCTGTTTCAGACAAGGTCTTGATGAGAATGTTTCTGAACATCTGGTCATAGGAACTTCTGTTGCAGCTTAAATCTGAGACCGGTCTAGTCCCTTCTCGATCATGCCACTCACCCGCCCTTGGCATCCACTCTTTAACCACCACAGCACCAGACACACACAGTAAATACATACCGTTCAGTTGATGACTTCTTTTATTCTGACAGTGCCATAGATACAGGAGAACTGACTGTCTGGAGAATGGCATCATCTTCTTTCTTTGCAGTAATCTTGATTTGCCTCCTTCAGTAACTTCTTTTAGTATGGAGTAAATTATGAAGCTGGCATTTTACTTTTTGGCTAAAAATCTAAGGTATGCCTAAAGCTTCTCCTTGAGCGTATTTCTCTTCAGAAACAGAGTCCTGTGCCATTTAAAGTGATAAATAGGTAGAAATAGCTTCTATATAAACCCAATAAAATAAATGCTGTATTTTGCTGTGCCCATTTTTTTTTTTGAAGTTAATCGAATAACACCAGTCATTTATCACTGTGCAGCGATATTGGCCATGCCCCATGAGCAGAATATCTTTAAAATATTATCAGACCAATCTTGACGTTAGAAGATTCTTTATCCTGCCAAACACTGATTTCTTGTTTTGTGTTGTTTCATTCTTTCCTTTGGCCAACACATTTTCTGAGGCTCTCCCATGTACCCGGCACTGTGGGTAGAAGCATGAGCTATCCCAGCCATGGAAGAGCTCCCTGCTGACCAGGGTAGCTGGGGACGCAAATACTGACGACCCGAGTGATGAGTGGCCCCACAGAGATGACCACAAATGCCGCGGAGACTCAGCTCGATGGACTAGCTGCCTGTTGTCTCCAGGACTGGCTAGTTTGGGGATGAGGAGATGGGGCAATTAGCCAGAGATGCACCTGAGCCCAAGTAGAGAGGCCTTGCTGCATGCCCTGTTGAGGAGTGTGGACTTGGCCTTGGGATCAGTAAAGGAGGAAAAAGTTTCTATTCCATGCATTAAGTAGAAAATATCAGAGATGCCTCTGTCAGATTCAGTGACATTTTAATATGCCACATATCATGTCTTCTATCTAGCAGTCTACATGTAACTCATCAATACAGAGCTCTGCATTTGAAAGCTTCAGGGCCCCCCACTTCGTAGTTTCTTGTGATTTTTATGTTTGCGCTTTGGGAAGTGTCTATCATTTCAAAACCTGTGCCTTGGTTAGGGAAGCCTGCTCAGTAGAGGAAACGAAGACAGAGCGGGTTGGAGTCTGATGTAGGAGAGCGGCTGGGAGGCATGGCCAGAGAGGTGGATGGTTCCAGGGTGCAAAGGGCCTGGCTGACACTCTCAGGGGCTTTTTTTCTGTAAGTGATGGGGAACCGAGGCCCGCCTGCTTAGATGTGTGGTATGAAAAGGTGGCTAGCAGCATCGTGTGCGTGGGTGAAGGCAAAGAGGGACTTCTGGCAGTGTTTTCTCAGTGGCCTCAAGCCGGTACCTTCTCCGTGGGATTCAGTTTCTCCCTTTGAAAAATGAGGAGGCTGGCCCACACTATGTGATTCAAGTCTGCTTACAAGCCTACACTGATAAAGCTGGACAGTTGACTTCTCCTTCTGGTGCCTTGGGTTGTCTTTGAAATGTGCGCTTGCTCCCGTAGGAAGAAGATGGGCTTCGGATGAGGAAGACAGCACAGAGCAACAACCCTGTTCCTGTGGTAGCTGCGGCCGGGAAGGACGAGGGCCTCAGCGCCCGGCTGCTCGCGCTGGTGGTTTTGTTCTTCATCGTTGGCGTGATCGTAGGGAAGATCGCCTTGTAGGGGCGGAAGGCAAAGGGCGGCACGCTGGATTGATGGGCCCGCCATACCATGGGGTTTGAATTTATCATAACCATGTGTAAAAAGAAGTTAATGTGTGATGACATCTCACAGGTCTTGCCTTTAAATTACCCCTTCCCTGCGCGTGCACACGCGTGCACACACACACACACACAATTATAACGTAACAATCTTTTAGAAAGTGAAAAATGTATAGTAAATGATTGGGGGGAAAAGAATGGTCTTTATTAATGACAAGGGAAACCGTGATTAAATCGTAATGGCATGTTGTGTCACTTTAGACATTTGTAGCCTTGGTACATGTGGCTGGGTTGATTACCTCTCAGAACAAGACCCTCTTCCTGCCTGTTGGTGCTGGCCCTTGGGGAGCGGAGCCCAGTGTGGCGGGGAGGGCCATCCCCTCCACGTAGCACCCCCCCTGCCTGCTCACCCCCGGCCTGCTGCTCCATGGTCTGCCCTGGGCCTGGCCGTCAGTTCCTTGGGAACGATGAACGAGGTCGGAAGCCAGCGGCGTTGTGCTGTGGCGGTGTCGGGTCTGCCCATGGGGGGCGGAAGGCGGTGCTCAGCGACTGACCCAACACTTTGGAAATGAAAGTCAATGCTTTGTTCTCTTAAAGGGACCAAGCTAAATTACTGTCCGTTCATGTAGTGAGATTGAATTGTTACTCAGAGATGTTTAATGCATATTTAACTTATTTAATGTATCTCATCTCATGTTTCCTTATTGCCACAGATTATAATTAATGCTGTGGCCTAATGCCAGGGGGTGAGGCTGGCACTGCTGCTGGAGAGCCGAGGGCTCCTGTCTCTCCAGAGGTTCTGGGCTCTACGTACACATGGAGGTGTGGTTTGTTTGAATGTTGGACAGTTGCTGCCAGGAGGTGTTTCTCTGTGTAAATAAGTAACAACCGTCAGAGAGGGAAGTTCTTAGTAGCAACAGTCAACTCTGTTACCCTTTTGAATGGCGAAGACTAGCTGATCTTCCGTTTTGTTCCTTCAGTGCCCCTCTGCCACCACGCATACTTCCAGCACACGTGCCCCTAGCCTGGTCCTGACCTTTCCTGCGTGGCCCTCGCTTGGACTGGGGCGGCAGACGGAGCCAGCGGGGTGGGGCCGGGGGGTGGGGAGGCTCTTCAGATAATCGTCAAGTAGCGATTGAGAGTTTGACTGTAAATTAATTTTATGCCATAAAAGACCAATCCAGTTCTGTTTGACTATGTAGCATCTTAAAAAGAAAAAAAAATTAAAATAAAGCCCCAGAATTAAGAGTTCTTTTGTCATTTTGTCACACTTGCTATAGGGGGGAAATTATGATCCTCATTATTATTTTGTTATTGGAAGGTTAGTTCTAAAATGAGCCCTATCAATGAGAAATACATATGTTTAATGATTTGAATATATATATCTATACATATATGTCGTGTGTGTGTGTGTGTATTTGTTGTTGGCTTCAACTGAGAGTATAAAAATAAAACTGCTGAAAATCTTAAGCAGCTGGTCACCCTTGCTCTTCCATTGCTTTGCCCCTCAGTAGAAAGAAATCTCTCCTCTGGGTCAAGGAGCCGTGCAGAAAAGAGAGATAAGCATGCTGAGCATGGCGCCAGGGAGTGGGTGGGTTTGAAAAGACAGATTCATCAAAAGGAAGACAGTTCTTAGAAGTCATCCGTTTGAGTCACGTTCCTCCTGAGCTTGGCTGGGGCGGAAGGGCCTTGGTTCTGGCCCTGAGGATCTGGTCAGGGACCTAGAGACTGGGAGCTGGGCATCTGCGGTCTAAGTAAATAGCTTCTGTCTTCATGAGAAGTTACTGTATCCCGAGTGCTTGCAGGGAACATGGAGCAGACCCAGTTCACAGCCATACACCTGGTGCTCAGATGGTGTTGAGTGCACGCACGGGGAGGGCTGCCCGAGTAGAAGTGAGTCTCCAGTGTTATCTTGTCCACGTGGATCCAGGGACTTATGGAATGGGGTGAAAAGACTGTGCCTTCTGCCATTAATTTTCTGTAAGTGGGCTACAGTCTGTCCAAATGTGGTAGCTGCAGCGAGCCATTCTTGACAGCCTCCAGCCCCTCATGGCCTCGAAAGGACCGGGCTCACTCAGAAGGGTCTCAGACTGTTCCTGGAGTGCGGCACAGTCCCATTTCTGTGGAGTGGAGCTCTGCAGACTTTTTCTCAAGGGGTGTGGCTGTATGTTCCCATAAAACTTGATTCACAGAAACAGCTGGCGGGATTTGGCGTATGAGGCTGGAGCTTGCCCGCGCTTGCACTGGGGTGGCTGAGTTCTTAAAAAGAGTGCCTCGGATATCTGTTCTGTTCTCAGACTTGGCAGTGACTTCCTGTTTTGTGTATATGCAGGAGATGGCATTCAGCTTCTCAGGAGATGTGGGCCTTTTGTTTGTAGCTGAAAATCGGAATTTAAAATCCAGAGTTGTCTTCTTTCTAACTAATCATCCTGTAAGCTCTCTTTCTCCTTTCGAGGTCAAGATTCGTGAACGCATGTTAGTTTATGGGGCTTTTTGACTGAGCAGAAGAAGGGAGCTTCCCAGGGAGAGAGGGAAGGTGATGGTGGGGAGATTGGATATTATGTAAATCATCCAGCAGTAAAGAGTGTGCTAGGAGAGGCAGAGTGTGTGTGCGCAAGCACTGCTAAGGGTCAGGGACCATTTGAAGAGCCACAAACACTCAAGATCTCAAACCGGAGAAGTACGCACCTTTTGAGTGTCTTTCTTGGAATGACGGATGAGGAAGCATGAGGGTCAGGCAGAGAGGTAGATGTGTGGTCCCTTCCTGTGGCCTGGCCTGTCCCAAGCAAGAGGAAAAGAGTCAAGTAATCAGAATAAACTGGCCTGGCCCGAGCAGGGCTGACTGGCAAGGGCGCAGGCCGGCCCGAGCCCTAAGCCCGCAGCGGCCAGGCCACCCTCCCTCCCGCCTGCTGCCCCGGGCACTGCTTTACAGCACCTCCCAGAGCAGTGCCTTTGTTTTAGAAATCTGCCACCGAGCCCACCAATACATAAGAGATGTAAGCAATAAGAGTCCTGTAAATTTTTATTGATTGAATTTTTAAATTGATAATTTAAGCTCCCTCCACACAATACAAAATACTTCTTAAAGACAGCAGGCTGTATTGTTTGTAGGTATGAGGACCCAGCTTTAGTTTTTTTTTCCTTCTCCTAGTTTGCATGTTTTCCCACTCTAGTCTTCTAAATTGCTGGCACCAGCAGTAATAAATACTGATAAAATCAAAATTGATTTTTACCAGTGGACAGTTTATGCCTAGAGAGACGGCTTATACCTACATAACACAGAAGGGGGAAAAATGAGGAACCTCCAGTGATCCGTGAAAACCTAAACGCTTTCAAACAAATCCCAGGAACAGAACTGCTATCCAGAGATATCAGTGTGGACTTGCAGGCTGTGTTGGGTCAGATATAACTGAATGCAGTGATAGCTCAGAGCTAAATAGCCTTTCAAATTAATTTGAAAACAAACTGTGTGTGTGTGTGTGTGTGTGTGTGTGTGTGTGTGTGTGTAGACCATGTACCATATGTAAGTAGCTTAACATTTTTCAAATGGTGCCTATATTTTTTGCACACACAGATCTTTATTTTTGCAAACTCAGAAATCCATGCCAAAATACAATACCGTTTGTCATTTTCAGTCTCTTCTCTAAACTGGACCATTTACAAGTTTCTTGTTATGGTTTGTGAAATTCTTAGTTTGAAAGAAAAAAATGAGAGAGATGGGACTTGGGTGTCCTGGTCACCTTGAGCACTGGACTGCCAGCCTTCCTCAGGTGAAGAGGCCGCTGCGCCCCCTGCTGGCGATGGCAGCTCACTGAGGGCGTCTCACGGGGCCCCGGGGTCCAGGGCAGCCTCCCCTGCGCGGGTCCATGGAGTCCGTCTGGCTAGAGGAGGAGCAGAACTAGGTCCAACTCCGCAGTTCTCCAAAGTGACCACTCCGAGGAGTCCTCTCTCAGTTAAGCGTGGGCATGTTTGCTGTTGCTGGGTGTGAATGCTTTCAAAGATCAGCAGAAAGGGACCTGTTCTTAGAAAGTCCCCCGAGGAGTCAGTCCTGCACACAGATCTGCTAAGGCCTGTGATTACCCATGCTTGAAGGCAGCTCGGGGACCACACGTGCCGCACGTCGAGTGGGGCCCCTTGGGGTTTCCCTGACGTGGTTGGGTTTGTGGAAGTCTTGTTTTCTTTTTTAACCTTCCTCAGACAGAGCTGCTTTGACAGCAGCCTTTTAGGGAAAGTTGCTATTGTTCCGGTGCTCCCTCTGCCTTGTGCAGAGCACTTCCAGAACGTTCGCTCAAACAGCTGTGACCCAGTGGGGGTGGGTGGGATGGGGGGGGTGAGGGCTCTGTTTCGCACATGAGGAAATGAAGTCTCCAAGAGGTAACACTGAGCAACTTCTTAGAGCCTCTCATTCGGAACGAAGTTGGTCTCTGAGAAGCCAGTGGTGAGGCTGGGATGGCTAAGACAGGGTCTGGACCGCATTTCCACTCAGCAGTGTGAAGGCTCTGGTGAGTGAACTCGCAGTCTCAGCCACTTGGACCGCTTGTTCCCCTTTTATGTGTTTGCCTTCATACCTCATGCAGTTATTCTAAAGATGAAGTGGACAGAATCCAGACGCTCATTGAGATGCTTTTTTATTTTTCTTTTTGAAACCAAATACACTTCAGACAGCGAAGAAACTGCGTTTTCCATTTTCTGGTTACCTGAAGATCTCTGCCTGATGCTCGTGGGGAATGAATTTTGGGGGCTGTGGAAAGAAAATGCCCAGTCTGTCTCAGCAAGGCAGTGCAGGGATGCTTTCTGTGGGGCTTTACGTAACTTATAAATTAAATGTGAAGCGAGGGCAGGTCATTAAAATTGGTATCACTGAAGTGGCCTGTTTAAGAACAGCCAAGCTGCTAGGCTCAGACCTCTCCCCGAATTAGCGCTGCACTTCTCGCGGAGATCATGGAAGGGAGCAAGTCCCAGCAGACCCTGGTAAGGGGCGGCAGCCCAGAGGCGGGCTTGGGAGGCTGTGAAAATGGGCCTCCAGCGAGACTCCCAGCCCTCTCGCTCCTACGCTCGAGTCCCATCTGCCACACACTTAGTCCACAGGGTCGACCCCAAAGAATGTCAGTTGGGGTGCACGAGCCTCCCCACCCCACGCCCCGCCAACCCCCTGCGGGGGAATCCAGACCTCCCTCCACGGGGTGTTAGCGACGTCATCTATGCCACTGAAAAATAAGGTTTTGTTTTATTTTCATTACAGGGGTATTTGGGGAAATTTAGAAGACATGAACACACGCGAACGGTTGTGTATAATAGTTACAAGTGAAACCCGTGGAGGTAGATGAGAGATTGTCTCGAGTAATATAATTACTTCAGATTTTTTTCCTAATGGAATTAATTCATTAGAAAATGTCTGCATCGACTCCATAGAAGAGGAAGAAAAAGCTAGCAACAAAAGCATAGCTATTACCTAACTTGCCGTAGATATTTGCAATCATGATACCTTGGAATGTTGCCACAATATGGATTGCTTTGATTAAAAGATGTCAGTTGAATAAAACAGTACCATGGGATAATAGTTTTCTGCCGCTAGATAAATGCTAATGTTTATTTTTAAACCAGGAAACATTGATCCTGTGACAATGCCCTATTAGAATTACTTTATTATACCACAGGGCTGATGTATATTTAATCATTCGGCTAATGGACGTGGGTGCAGGACTGCTGTGCGCTCACTGCATCCTGATGGACGCTGGGAGAGTGGCCCCACTCCTGCCCAGCGCCGCGGCCGACCCCAGCGGAACAGGGTCCCATTTACTTTTTGATTCTCTTCAGTACATGCCAACTAGGGTAGACAAATCTGATAGCTCAACACAGTTTCATTAAGGCTTAGTGCTAACAAGAATGCATAGCTTTTTGTGACTTAAAACAATGATAGACTAGCATGCATGTTTCTCACGTCAACTCAATGGTTTTTCATGTGATACGAAAAGGTCTGGTTCTTTGTAGGAACCTGACGCCTGCATTCCCATCTTTCTTTTGTACTTTAGAAGCCAACTACATTCAGCTGTGACCCTCCGCTGCGGCATTCATTTAAAACGAGGTTTTTCCCTTGACTCTTCTAGTTGGATTCAGAGGTCAGAATTTATTGTCTGTAATCCTGAGACCATGTGTACAAGAACTGCTTGCCTCCAGCGTTCACGCATTTAGCAAACATTTATCAGTTTACCTTCTGTAATATGTTAGATACTGCAGGAGATGCTGAGGAATTAATCAACAGGAGTGATTTGTTTTTGTGCGTTTCATTCGTAAGCAGTCTCAGTAAAGTGATTCAAGCTTATATGTAGAGAGCAGACTGCAAAGTACATTTGGTTCTCATTTCTGCTGCTAGCATTTCCTTTTTTAAGAATTTATAAACTGCTGCCATTTGGAACTTCCTATAAGAAACTCAGAATGATCTATTTAAATGTTTCCTTAACGTCCTCTCTCCTTTGTGAGTAAAGAAGTCATTTCAATGGTGCGCTCTGTCCCCCTCTGCTTAAGCTTTCTCCCTGTCTTGGGGGGAAAAAAAAATCTCTGCAGTTTGTGGTGTGTGTTTTTATTCTGACTTCAATGTACATTAACATTTTGGGGATTGAGTCTTTTAAGAGATGTCTTAGAATGCTATCGTTTTAATAATTTTTCTTTTCTGTATTTTAAGTTGTATTTCCTGTTTTGACAGAATTCATTTAAAAAGTTGGTGCAGGAAAGGACTCTTTACCATCATCCATTCTGGTTATCTGATATGTAATAAATTCATGGTTTTATGGCTGACTTTACATTTCCCGGATGTATCTCTGCAGTGTCCAGATCGAAAGAGCCATTCAGAGCGTGTTCTCAACATGTTCCGCCGTGTCGGCCTGATGAAGCCCGCCCTGCCAAGGCATAAACTTTTGTACTAGCTGTCTCCGTATTCTGTTCAATAAATTCTGTGCTCTGAATATATTTAAAGGATGCTTCAGTGTAAAATTTTTTGAACGGATGGCTTAAGAGCATTTGGATATGCTTTAGGGAACACAGCAGTGCCCATTGTTTTGCTCTGCCCCTGATTCTCAGGAACATAAAATCGGTTGAAAATGAAAAATCATAGATCTCTTCTCTGACGGAAACAGACGTAAGGAATGACTTAGGTCAGCTTCCTCACTTTACTGATGAGGAAACTTTTGCCCAGTGTGGGGGCCAGGCACGCATTCATGTACTTTCCTGAGGGGTGGGGGTGGGGAGGATTTGTCACTGACAGAGTCCTGGCTGGTGGAGCTTGCTTCCAGGTCTGCAAGGTGCGCCGGCCTGTCTTTAAGCTGTGCTGGACAGTTCTCCCACTTACAGTGTCATCTTTTCAAAACGTTAATGACAACATTTTAACTTCTTTTGAAAAAGTAACACAAGCAAACATTAAGACTTGACAGCAGTCCAAAACACTCCCCCCTGCCCCAGGCCCAGACCCTCGCCCTTCTCCAGAGACTCCTGAATGCCCCATTTCCCGTTTGCCTCTTTCCAGAGACCCTGTCTGCACGTGTGTTCGAGCGCGCACAGCCCCACGTTTCCTTACACGCAGATGGCACACACAGCCCGCTGTCGTGTTCTTTGACTTTGTAATATGTCAGAGATCATTTCATGTCCACACACATTTTCTTAACGGCTCTGTCGTTTTCCTTTGTGATGTGCCCGTAATTGACTTAACCAGCCCTCCACGGAGGTGCACTTCACCCGTTTCTGGTCTTGGCTGCTACAAACACCCCTGCACACAAGCGGGAATAATAGGGCACAGCTCCTCGGGGAGAAACGGCTGAGTCAAAGGGTGCCTGCATTTTAAGTTTTGCCCCGTGACTCCCCCACCGGCTTCCGTGGAGGGCATGCGAGCTCCTGTCCCCCACCCCCCCCGCCCCCTGCCCAGGCTAGCACGTTGCCATGGCTGATGTTTGCATTTCTCTGCTCATCTGGAAAGGGCGCGCAGTTTCTTGGTTTCAGTCCACATTTCTTTGCATGAGGTTGAGCAGCTTGCACGTGTAAAGGTCGTTTGAACGCACACGTGAAGATCTAGAATGATGGAAGCTCAGAGGAAGGGGAGTCTTAACCGCGGGAAGGGCCAGTGGTAGAACAGCAGAAATGCAGTTCTAAAGGGGTACATTTATGAATGTGGAAATAGGAACGTACGGTATTTTACTCCTGGGAAAACCACTTGCCACAGAGGGTATAGAAATGGATTGGGCGGGGGCGATAAATAACGCTGTACTGCCAGCTGATCAAGCTCTCGTTCCTGACCTCTGCCAGCGACGTCCCGATGGCGTCGGTCTAAGTGAGCCTGTCCTCTTGCTTCTCGGGTCCTTATTGCAGGGGGCACAGGTAAGGCCCAGTTCAGTGTTGCAGACCATGGAGCGTTCTGGAATAGGGACTAGAAATGGTGGTCATCCTTAAAGCTGTGAAGTAGAGGTGTTCTGTACTCAACAGTCGAAGGAGCCGTTCTGGCATCCTCATCATCTCATTACTCAAGAAGACAGATGCCGCCTGGGAAGTTGCCAGGGTCCTGTGATGGGGGAGACCCGCCCCGCCCCTCAGAAGCTGCACTTAAGGTGGAGGCTTTACCTTGTCCAAGTAGAACTTCGCTTTCTGTTTTCTTAGCAATGCTTGACCACTAAAATCACTTCAAAGAAAAAAAAAAGTAAAAATTTGGAGAAACACAAAATTAGTGTTACGGGCTTTTTTTTTTTTTAGATTTTATTTATTTATTTGAGAGAGAGGGAATGAGAGAGAGCATGAGAAGGAGGAAGGTCAGAGGGAGAAGCAGACTCCC